TTATGGGAAAAGGGGAAAGGGAAGCTCTCAACCACCGTACCCCAACACTAACAACCCCCGCCGACGAATCCCAAAGGAGAGACGCCGCTAAACTTACCAGGAAAAACTCCGACAGAACACTGCACACACACCTTGTCCGACACTCACCTTTCTCCGCTTCCGCCAAAGTCCGTTCCGCATGAATGAATGAAAACCGGCTCCAGGAAATACACACCTGCTCACAACTCACAAACGCATGCGCGCCAACACACAAAGGGAGAAACACGTCACCGTTCACCTAGGGAATCCCCACAAAGGGAACCCCACAAACCCGACGTCACACGCCGCACAAGATCAGTCAATCACATCCAACAAGCGCCGCTAATTACACAGACAACAGATCCCCATTACTGCGCTCACTCAGAACATCAAAGACGAAATACGTACCAACAAGGCAAAAAAAAAAATCCACTAAACGCCCAGCACTTATCCAGGACGAGCCCCCAACTTTGTTACGCCTGGCTCTGAGGCCGCAACAACACAGACAAGGCAGCGTGATGTAGCGAATTACAATAAGCTTTATTGATTTAACATAAACGGAAATGAGCGATGGAGTGTGAAAGTGAGCGTCAGTAGTGTGTGAGGGTGTTTGAGTGCTATGTAGTATGTGTGGTGCATGTTGTCAGGTGCAGAACATAACAAAAGTAGATGCAGCAGGATGGAGATCTCAGGGATGAGTGAGAGAGCAAGACAGCCCACGGCAGGGGGTTTATAACAGCAAGCCAATCAGGGAGCCCTGCACAGGAACYTCCAGSCGGCYAACAATCAGCAACCTGCAAGACACACCCACACAGCATACACACCATACACAGAGAGGACACAGACATGGGCTGGGGCCGTAACACCTCTTCTTCCACTTAAAAATAACGTATTTCACAGTTCCCTTGACAAAACCCATATATTAAAGCATCACATCGATCTGTTGTGTAGGTGCAGCCAGTGTCCAGTATCTGACTGTGGAGGGCCTGGTATCAGCTGTTCAGGAGGGAATTGCGTCCATGCAGGAGAAGGACAAAATGATCAGCTCCAGTAACAAGTCTAGAACGGGAGTGGGCCACTGCACCGCCTGTCTGACTGGGAAATATCCAGTGGAGCTGGAGTGGTAACAGCTGCATCAACGCCATGGTTACAGCAGCACTGCATTAACTTCACATGTGAATGAAATGTCCCTTACAGACTGGAGAAGAAATGATGTATTTTTCCTGCTCAGGTCCATAATCAGCAGGTAACTGTTGCTTTTGGCGACCTCCAGTGGTGGCGGTTTCCCCTCTTGTCGCTCACTGCGTCACTGAAAAGTGTCTGACCACACAAAACTGATGCAGTTTTTTTTATATTACAATATAAATGTGTTTTCATAAAAATGTTGGAACTACTTTCACACATGTCAACATTCCTTGCCTAGCAAACATGTGCATTTGATAGAATTTGCCATGTCAGAGAAGCGCACAAAGCTAGTGACCAAAATGTGAAATGGTCGTTAATTTCCTCATGTTTTTCTCTACCTTTTTGCTTTATAAAAATTAACCACTGTCATATTTTCTTTTGGGTATGAGTGTTGTAGATTTTTTGATTTTCTTAACTTTAAACATTACATGAATATAATGGAAAAGTTAAATAAACAACTGCAATGAGTATGTACTATTTGTGTTTTTAATACCAGAAACAGCATTTACACACATTTTTTAATAATGAATAAATACTCAGAAATAAACATGATGCTTCTGCTTTATCTTCAGTAAGAGACCATAGTACAAACTCTAAAACCTAACAGATTTGTGAACCTTATCACTCAAATCAGTTATTTTAACAGCATTCAAAAAAAAAAATAGAAACAACTGGGAAGGATAACAGCTTCATAACAACAACTTGTATGTGTCAATAGTGGAATTAGAGCTTCACAACTTCTTAGCTCAGACTGAGCCAGCTGAGAAAAACACTTCCACTTTTTTTTCCAGTGTTTTTTTTATCTTAAGAACTTAGAACGTTAAACAATATTTGTACTGGAAACATCACACTACTACACAATTACAACACTTTGTTGTTATGTGACAAACTGAAACTTGTTGGAGAACCTGTAGACAGGGTGTTTCACAGCAGGTGTGATCCATGTCCATTATTTCCTGCACACATTAGGAGGAGAGGGGGGTTAAGGGAATACAGCAATGCTGGAAAAAATACAACACATGGTAATTTGTGTTTATTACCTGGGGGAGGAGCAATTTGCCATGCTGCTCTCATGAGAACCACCTGTTAAAATATATATAATTAAATTACTTCAACAACAGAAAGGACTGAAATAAATAGCTCTGCATAAAACAGGGTTTTGAGGAGGAGGCTTACAGAGAACAGAGAACTCAGCTGCAGATACAGGCCGTCCCTGTCTCATCCTGGCTTCCTGATGTGTATCTGCTGAGCGCTGCTGCGTGCTGACTTTGTTACACATGTTGTGTTTGCTTGAGCTGTAGAAGAGGTCATCACCAGACAGCTCAGAGCGGCAGAGACGGCGCCTCACCATTTCATTCCCATGGCGTTTGGACCCTGGGGAGGATGTGTAGCATTCGTCCCTGGAGCGCTTGGACAGGGGATGGTCGCCCCAGCCCAACTCCCTGTTGCGTTTCCTCAGTATGGAGCAGTGCGGCGACAAGGCGAGAGCTGCTAACGCTGAGGAAGAGCGAGCTCTGCTGGCCTCAGGATACCTCGCGCAAATACGGCAGGGATGGCTGTTAAAGAACGATGATTTGTTCAGGCAGACAAACTTGTGGTAAAGGGTCAAGAATTTCTCATCAAGCTCCTTCGGGGAGTAGGAAACACCAGTGGATGGCAGGGAGGAGTCAAAGGAGAGATGGCGCCGAAGCCTGGGACGACCTGCAGTGGCTGACTGAGGTGAATGCAGCTGTGGCTGGAGTGAGGGATGGGAGTTTTGAGGGTAAAGCATCCTCTGTGGCACTACAGGCTTCTGTGGAGTGGAGGACAGAGAAGTGGACCTTGATCTGCCCCTCACAGGCTCTCTGGAAAAGCTTTCCACAGAACGGTCTTTGGGGCTCCTAGAGAAGGCGTAAGGGGATCTACTGAGGCTGTTTATCATCTGTGATTTTAATGGACTCTGTCTGACTGGGGAGCTGTAGATACCAGATCTTTCTGCAAAAGAGACTTCTGATGCATACGTGGAGCACCCAGGAGCCTGCGCTGAGTGTGCAGAGAGAGAATGCCTTTTAGACCTTAGAGACTGGTCCAAGGATGATTTTGCAGAGCGATAGCAAGGCCGTGAAGGACTGCCAACATAAGTGCATGGCTGTTCTCCCAACTGTTCAGACATAGTGTATATCTGACTCAGTGAGGTCTCTTGCGATTTAGAGGTCTCGAAGAATTGTCTAGAGAGGTCTATCTCGCAGACAGAATGGCGCCGCTCTCTTCTCAGCGGGCTTCTCTCCCTTACAGGAGATGGCTGATCTGCTTGCAAAGCCAGCCGATTGGTTGTGAAGGGAGAGCGAGGGACAGATTTAGTCACCATGAACTGCCTTCTCTCTGGGCTGTTAGAGGTCTCCTTGAGCTGCATCCTGCCGGTCATCTTTCCTGGGTTGCTGTGCCTCAGAGTGTTGTTGAGACTGACTTCTCTCGACTGCTGTCGCCACCTGTGGTACCTCCTAAGCACCGAGTCAGCGGCCATGGAGAGATTTTGCCGTTGCCGGGCCCTTTCTATTCGACCAATCATGCTGGGGTAGAGCTCCACAAAAGAGCTGCCCTGACGCCTCAGAGTCATTTCCAGTTCCTCATCTTGGTCCTCGGGCTGGAGCTCGGTTTCAGAAAAGTTTCGCTCACTCTCCTCCAATGAGCCAACAGTCAGCTCGGTCATGTTACTTTGTGACATCACTGTAGAGAGGAAAATGGAAAAAGAAACATTACCTGTGTGACTACAAATTAAACTTGCTTCATTCCCTTGTTGGCCATAACTAAATCTTTCTGTGGCTTTCCTCCTCTTACCATCATCGTCATCATCCCCAGAATATTGGCTGCTGGACGCACTAGTATCATCAGCTCCACCATCTTCATAGGTGAAGTCCAGCTGTTGAAAGATCATAATGTGTTCAAGATTTTCAAGACAGAATAGTTTAGGAAATACAAGCACAGTATATTTACCTGAGAGTTTCCTGGAATGTCTCGTGCTGTGGAGGAAGGAACATCAAAATCAAATGATGATATTACAAATCTGTGAATTGCTATTCTTGCTGGAGGTGATTGATACTTGCCTCTTAATGGCTCATCTCTCATATCTGTCAGGTTCTGAAAGAAGAAAAATGTTTTACCACTGGCATAAAAATGAAAAATGAACTCCTAAAGCTGAACCAGGTTCATAGATGTTGTGTGAAAGCCATGTGTGTGTGTGTGTGTTTACAATGACACAAACCTTTGATTCAAGATTGTTGAGCCTTTGTCTTGATAGCTTCATGTAGCGTGCAAGTGCTTCTCCATGCAAAGAGTGGGGACAGAATAGAAACACAATGAGACCAGGCTACATCACCACTACTGACCTCCAGAAAGTCTATATAATGTCAGTATGTTCTAGCCAACATTAATAGTCCATATGTGCATAACATACACATACATAACATAAAATGGTATAAATAAATAAAAAATGAGACACAATAATTAAAACTATAGCATTAAAATAGATCTATAAATGGAATTAATTTTCCCAATAAGAGCTACACATATATAACATGAATTGTAGACGTTATACGGATCATTTGCAGACATTAAGTGGATACTTAAGTGCAAAAGGACATTTACATTAGAAGAAGTGCGAGTGGAAAACCAGCGCATCATAAATGAAACATTTAGATTGTGTTGTAGTTGCATTACTTCGGTGTTGAGTATTTGCGAGGTCCACCTCCAACCCCTCGTCCAGATCCTGAAGCTTTGAATACTGATGGAGACATTAGCAGAGGTTAGCTTACTGTCTGTCCACATATTTACCGCTGAGCTTTAACTCAACTAATGTTAGCTACTCCGCGCTAAAGCTAACACGAATCACAACGCACCTTGTCCACGATTCGGTCCAGCGACCTTTTGAATTGAAAGCTGTTTTCATGGAGCCCTCTTTTAAAGGCCGCGTCCATGTTGGATGTAACATAAACACACGTTTTCCTGGTGGTGATAGCCGGGAGCTAGCGGTAGCACACAGGCTAACTGGGGGAGTGAGGAAGGCGCGTTCAGGTTCAAATCGCTTTTCACACACTGCTGAAACGTGATTGGACGGCAGATGTGTGGAGCGTTCAATGCTCCTGGGAAATCATGGTATTAGCACAAAACAGCTTGTTCGAGTATTTCAATTAGGGGACTAAACCCCAGTATTTAAATACAAATATTAGTGAAATAAAACGATAGCTTAAACACAAATATAACTTAAATACTACACATATCAATTTTGAAGCAGATGGCTCAAATGTGTAGCAGCGATAGTTGAACGACATTTGAATTCGCGTTACGTAAATAATATAAATTCACATGCGCACATATACACATGTTATTATTATTATCACACTATTATTATCACCGTTATTTTTTGTTATTGTTGTTGCTGTTAGAGTATATCTGATCATTCCTTGTTTGTGCCATTGAACTAACCATTAGCGACACGTCATCTTCAGGCGACAAACATGCTCTGTCCGGATATAAACAAAATCTCTGCAGACTGAATTTAACAACATATGATCGAAACCATGTGATTCTGGAGTCAACGTTCAGAGAGTGAAGTATGGCTGCAGGGACGCTGCAGGAGCTCGTGTCCGCCGCCGCCTCTCTGCACCCAGACCGGGAAGCGGTGACATACGATAGCGGCGGCTCGGTGCCCGGGAGCCCGGTGTCTCTGCGGTACCGAGAGGTGGTGGAGCTGTCCGCCGATCTGTCTCATGTTCTGCGGGACAACTGTGCTGACTGTAACGGAGTCATTGGGCTGTACTGTAGTGATGATCTGCTCATACCAGTGTGGATCCTGGGGTGAGTTGACTGTGTGTGTGTGTGTGTGTGTGTGTGTGTGTGTGTGTGTGTG